TCAAATATATCACTCGGCATATACCTGAAAGATTTCTCTGTGATGGATTCGTTAGCGAATGTTGATAATTAAGTCCTTAACAGGATAAAAGCCATCCTCTATGATGATCACAGTCCTGTGTGATCTCTGATCCTATGTCCTTTGTGAATCTTCTGTACTGTGTTAAGGTGTTTGGCCACGGTAAAGGTACCGGTTGAGTTTTGTCAAGGATGTCTTCAGCTATGTTGATGTGGATCCCAACTCACGTGTATATCGCTGTAGACATTATACATCACCAGTGTCTAGTGTCTACTAGAGCCTGTAGATCTCATGGTCACAGGGCTGATTGCCAGGTAACGGCTGACTGGTCCAACTCTGGCGAACCTTCGGATCAAGGTTCTCTGCTCATCTTTGACATTACTGTTAGGCCTACTGCGGGTTTTGCTGATTTATTTATTGTATCCATACGTAATCTCTTCTATTTTAACGGGTTGAGAAAAGAAGGCCCTAAATCACTCGTTCGCTTATTCATATAGTGATGCTAACTTAGGTCTGTATTTTAAGTCACTTGTTAAGTGATGCTCACTCAGTGAGTATTTTAAGCTAGCTATGAATGCAGAGTGTGTAGAATATGAGATTACTAGCTAGGTGAGAATTGATTATAAGCTTTAGTTTCCGACGAAGATCAGCTGTTTCTATATCCAGGGCCATTATTAACAGTCCAATGAGCAAGGACAGCTAGCTAGAGAAAAAACTAGCGATTTTCTTGAGGTTGAATCTGCAGTCTACTGTATTGGTAGTTTCAGACGAGAATATAACCATTCACTATTCAACTATTTTGTTAAGTATGGTCTCAATTTGAAAATTTTACCTTAAAGCAACTGACTTTGTAAAAGTTTTTCATACATAAAAGGGCAAACTGTTAGACGAAATCTGAAACTTATCCTACTTAACCCGTAACGATCAAATGCAGCTGATATAAATTTCGAGACATCTGCCCAAAAACCACGAACCATCCTTCCTATTTGCTAACTCGTAGCCAAAAAATATCACATAGGGTGCTATACTATAACATGTACAAAACACCACTGTGCCAGTTTCAAAGCAAACCACGCTGACAGCCATTTTCTCATTTGCTGCAAGTACAAGGCTAGGCTTCATTCATTCCCTGCTGCCTGTTATCAATTGTTATCAGTCCCTTACGCAAACCAACCTTGGTAGCTGCTCATTGATCGTTGCGCCGCATTCGCTCGACTAATCAAACCTGAAAAGATCACAGATCTAAACCTTGTTAAGTGAATCACTGAGTAACTAAAGTGGCGAAACGATCAAGGTAAAATCGCAATTATGTTGCGCCATGGTAATTGTGTTATGAAAAGATTTCCATATTTAGTTCGTGAAACATAATAACAACATTTTTTGTCATGCTGCAACATAATTTAAGATAGAAAACGAAAATTACTTGTAGATGTAAAGATAAATTGTAAAGATAACCCCAAAAAAACAATCAGCTGTTTAGTAAGTGATTCAATAATTTCGTCTATTCATATTGTGTATGTGTGCATTATACCACCAATATGTCGAACTATTGACAAGAATGCCACAATAAGCTAGAACCATTAGAACCCATTAAATCAATATATACATCTTACTAATATTATAAATCTGAAAGTTTGTGAGTTTGTGTGTATGTTTGTGTGTATGTTTGTGTGTGTGTTTGTGTGTGTGTTTGTTGCTCAATCACGCATAAACTACTGGACGGATTGGGCTGAAATTTGGCATGATGATAGCTCACATTCCCGATTAACATTAAAGCATATTCTTATCTCAAAAACCCTTTCGGGCTCCGCCCCAGTGGCTCTGTAGTTCCCCATGTTAATCTTATGATTTTTCATATTTAAAAGGAATTAATGAAACTTAACAGCTGTTTCAATTATACAAGTTGGTTCTGTTCTATGATATTCAATAGCATAAAAGTTACAAGGATTACCAACAGGGTGCAGCACTATTATTATTTTTTTTTATTTATGACAACAGCTAATTTCCAACCAAAAGGTGAGTGAGCGTAGCGAACGAACTTCAACCTGTAGGCGAGTTAGCGTAGCGAACGAGCTAACCTGAAGGCAAGTGAGCGCAGCGAACGAGCTCCAACCTAAAGGTGAGTGAGCGTAGCGAACGAACTTCAACCAGGACGTGAATGAGTCATGCGAATACTTATGAAGTTAAACGGGGCGAAGCCCGCGGGTACAGCTAGTAATTTTTATATAATGCGATTGCTTACGAACGAAAAATTTACCTCAGCTGAATTTACTTCAGCTGACCAGCTCGCAGCTGTCTTAGCTATGGACATGGACAAAAAATGTTTCTACTCCCTAGGGAGTAAAATAGCTACTTTTAGACCCGCAACACGAGTATGAAAAACGGCAGTTTTTGCTGCAATATGACGAAAAAATATTAAAATATAAACACAAATGTATTATATATTTTGAACTTTTTAAACACGCCAAATTGATTATGGAACAATAATGAAATTAGGATTTATTCTACAAAATAAAACTTCATCATCCTATAAAATGTAACCGCAGAACAAAGTTGCTACAACATCAATTATTTGAAGCTTACGTTTTTGTAAATTGGAATAAAACAAATTATACAGAACAGAAAAATAGATTGAGTCGAGTCTATTTTTACACGCAAAACTACAATAACTATAAAAACTTCGTGGATTGAGTCGAGTCTATTTTTACACGCAAAACTACAATAACTATAAAAACTTCGTGGATTGAGTCGAGTCTATTTTTACACGCAAAACTACAATAACTATGAAAACTTCGTGGATTGAGTCGAGTCTATTTTTACACGCAAAACTACAATAACTATAAAAACTTCGTGGATTGAGTCGAGTCTATTTTTACACGCAAAACTACAATAACTATAAAAACTTCGTGGATTGAGTCGAGTCTATTTTTACACGCAAAACTACAATAACTATAAAAACTTCGTGGATTGAGTCGAGTCTATTTTTACACGCAAAACTACAATAACTATGAAAACTTTGTGGGTCGCGATCTGTCACTTTTAAATAAAATACGATGAATTCACAATACTTTTTGACTTCAGGTATATACTATAAATTTACGTGATTGGATCAGAAATCCTATGCTAAGTAGAGAGCATTCCTTGGTAAAGAAAAACTTCAATCACTTATTCAATTATCGAAAAAGTTGGAGAAACGGGAAAGAATGTCACCAAACAAAACAATTTAAAAATAAATATGTTCGTGGTTACAGTTTTGGCGGGTTTTAACCTAACTCGTAATGATTTGTGAGGTGAGCTCTAACAACGTAAACATGATTACCGGTATCGTGAAAGGTTTATGAAACATAATATTTTTATAGCAAAATAATATACCTTTCCTACTGTTTAAACAATGGCACAAAACATTCCATTCACTAAACTCACGCCTTCAGTTTAACTCAAAGTATAAATTATTCATAATTCCATTGAAATTTATCGTGTTCGTCTGGATACTGCATTATTCAAGGTGAATTCATAAATTTTATGAATACATGGGTCTGAAAACATTCCGGGTCATAAAACTTTAATACACTTATATCATTCTGTTGAAGTAAACAAAGTTTTGAAACTGAATTGCCCTGATACATTAGCTAATTGTTGACAACTTATAAAATTGTACGACTGTTTTAAACTTATCGTCTTATGGATCAGCTATACAGAATACAAACTATGTTATATTCGATATCAGCCCACCAAGCCTAATTGGAATCTCTTCAAAATTACTTCAATTACTTCAAAGTACTTCCAATTTTACCGCAGTATGTGAAACCTACGTTCAGTGACCAAAGTTAAATGATATTGTATAGACGCTTTCCTCTTCCCGTTTTTTTCAGTGTATTTCAAATATACTGATTCCTAGGATGAACTTCGCCATGCGTCTTTTAAAACAATTTGGCTTGTATGGAAGAAAAATCAAATTTAAGATGCAAAAAAATATTTCATCACAGACTTGACTTAAGTTAAAAGATCTCTTTTTTGCTGACATCTTAAAGTCTACACATTTTATTGGGTGTACAGCCAAATAAGTTTTGGTGTAGACATTATTGTATGAACATTTTATATCACAATACCTGCTTATTTATAATCCAGTGTTTATTTGTTATTGTTTGTAAAAAATAAATAAAGTTAGTTGGTTTTGAGTTACGACAGTCTTAAAAAACAGAGCATTATTTAATTTCTCAGTAATATAGCCTAGTACAAATCATATTCACTACAACTTTTTCCGCTGTTTGGCGTAGGTATCAAGTAGAGAAATTTGATCACAAGTGCTTAGAGCTCAAAGTGCTTGGAAGTAACGAGTAGAGTGTAGAAAGCAAAAATATTACAGTACTTCCTATTCTAACAATCGCTGTTGAGAAACCAGTACCAAAACGTCCCTCCAGTTTCGCTGGTTGACAACCATGGTCCCAAGTCCCAAGTCCATTATCAGTTTCCTGCATTTGTCTGACGTTCCCGTCGAGGAAGGTCGCTGTAGCCACAGTCACAGTCAAGGTCCAAGGTCCGAGGCGGCGAACCGAGGACCGAGGCTAGACTTGCCTTGATCCACCAACCAAACTGCCCCAGATCCATCGTCCTCGTCCATCAATTACAAATTTTGTTTGAAGATGGTCCGTGACCAATCGTAGTGATTAGCTACTTCTGTGGGTTGGTTTGACAACTGTTTTACTAGTATATCCAAGCACAACAGTCTACATTTTTACAATCATAATGGCCAATGGGGAAGTCGGAGGATTTGTGAGATGATTGTAGCTTTGTTACAGTCTAAGACCATTACCATTTGTTCCTAAGCCCAGTTGTTCCAGTATCGAAACGGCGAGCGAATACTAAACGAGTGAGCACTATACTCAATCTTTCCCCTAAAGGTTACTGATCTCTTTCTAAAATATTTGGCTGTTTCAGTCAGATGTTGTGTATAGTTTTAACAACTATTTTGCTTGTTTCAGGAAAATCTTGTGGAAAAGAAAGCCCAGACAAGAAAGATGACAGTGAGCTGTGGAGCAATGTGGAGGCACAAGCGGCCTTCCTCGGACCCAACCTGTGGGAGAAGACACTCTCATACGACTCAGATCTTAAAGTAAGTATCCTACTTTAAGCAAGAACAGTTTCATAAGACTTACATCTTAAGATCATGAACCACAGCAAATTGTCCAAAAGACCAAGTAATACTCACAGAGAAGTAGGATATAGAGGAATCATTCAATGGTACACTTAAGTGGTGTCTAGCGCTGGTGTCTAGGGCAAAACATCCTTCCAACCCCCTCGCCATCATGTACTACAATGCTCACGGTTGAGGAAGTCCCTGTGCCATAGGAATTTCCGCACAATGCTCACCGTTTGGGCTCTTCCTCATTCGTCACAAGTATATTTTCGCCCCAACTTACCAGAGCTGAAAGCGCTTGGTTGTTCCATAAGCTTGTATCCTACGTATCATTCTTCTCTGTTGTAATCTCTGTTCATTGCATTTGATAGTAGCATTGACTATTGGATACTGAAGCAGACATCCTGTCTAGATATGGACCAACTGTCGCCAAATTATTTCTAGAAAAAGAACGTAGTTGAGTGAGATAGTCACTACTGTAGAGTCAATTTTTTTTTATCATTTTTATTGTTGCTGACATATGTAGTAGTTGATGGGTCACAACAGTTGCTATAGCTCACAATAAGTCGGTCCATCATGTGTATGGACAAAATTGCCGCTATCATCATAGTGTTTAAGCTGAAAAGTATATTCCTTTACATTGGCTACTGCTCTGCTTCTAGGAGACATAAATATTCACAAATTATAGACTAAATCAAATCAAAATATTTGAATAAATTCTTTTGTAGACAAAGTAGGCCCTACCTAGTTGATTTTTTTATCAAGAATGTCCTTGTATGAGGCCTTGGCGACATTTTATTATTGTTACGAATTAAAGTAAGACTTGCACTTAATAAGGCCAACAACACTTTTTTGCTGCATCCTAGAGGACATAATTAATTGATTGGAATTCTTAAAGACATCCAGAAATTCTTTTATTCTCTCATATTTTTATGTTCATTACTTCTCCATCCAGCTCTAATATGTAGTTCTAACCCAAACCACCTTGCTTACGCTATCTGATTTTCATTTATTTAAACAGTTCACTTTTTCTCTGTCAGTTAATAACGACTCCAGTACTAACATTGTTTATAGCTGGCTGTGTAGCAGAGTGAGTGGTTATAGTACTCGCCTAACAATGAAAAGGTCACAGGATCGTTCCTATTTTACTGTAATAATATTCAACTTGTGCTCTTGAAGTCCTGAATACCCAACCTTCCTCCTTATTCCATCTATTTTTCAGTAATTCAACAAGTCCACCCTTCCTCCTATCACTACATATCATCCATACCCTAATAATCTTATGTCTAACTTAGCTAATTCACTACTCTGTCTTTTCTAGTATGTGGACCTGGACGAGTTCCTCTCGGAGAACGGGATCCCGGTGGAGGGAGGAGGCGTGGGGGTAGGTGGGGGTGGCAATCCGGTGGTAAAGGACACATCCTGTGGCAGGATATCACCTCCCAACACGTCACAGCCCCCGGGCATGCTGCCGAAGAGGGAGCGGTCGCCGTCGCCCTCGGAGCCCATGAGCCCCCTCACCATCAATCCCCCCTCGCCCGCCGACTCCAGTCAGTATAGTTTGACGGACAGCATTGGACAATCTTTTGAATGTTCGTGGAATGATTTCATGAATGTGATTTCATGGCACATGAAATCGGTGCAGAGCTAACATAAGACGCAACGTTTGGTTTAAAATATATTTATCTATGTGAATACTCTTTGGTATACGTAAAGAAGCGTAGTAAGTTTGGACCATGTACAATAAGCTAAAATTGTTGGTTTGGTTACAATTTTATACTTATTAATCATACGCATTTTGTCCAAAAATGTTAATTTAAGGGGACCGAAGTCTGAGAATAGTCTGACTTGGCTCGCCACCGAGTCACGATCACGTTATGCTTTAAAATGTTAACTAAATTTGAAATTAACACAGGTTGAAATACAAATTTACTGGTAGTTAAAGATTATTGTTGCGTCTTACAAATATCTTAGTTCTGGACCACCACTTGGGGTTGGGATGCTTGTAGGCAATATCATTGGGGATTAAAAGATAAAAATGGACATGCAATGTAGAAATATGAACATTTGACAAAAAAGTTCTGCTAAAAGAGCTGAACCATCAAAATGTAGCAACCAACATTGACTGTGTTGACCATTTTTATGAATGGTACCTTGATATTATTAAATTTAACCATGACCATTAACCAGCTGAAGATAGCTTAACTTACACCATTGCACAATTACACCAGATAAAATAAAAGTTTCCCAAAAATACTCAGTGCATATATACTTACTCTATAACTATTTAAAAGACAATATACATATAAACGATGTAATATTGCCTGGATGTCAATGTCAAGTTGTATTAGTAATGCATGGTTTTGGTGTTAATGTTTTTACTATCACCTCATTATAATAAGTGTCCATTTGAGTCCTTACATCTTCAATGACTATAATGATTTGCTTGTTGGTTTTGGTGCTGTGTTCTGTAAAATCCCTCTTGAACTTTAATCAGTAGTATTTGAAAGCCTATTAAAAGTATTATTTTATCTTGTTAGGTTGTACCGGTACCATTGACTGATAGATACTGTTGCAGACATCCCATCTATGTGGACCAGCTGTCGCCAATTTAAAAAAGAAATTGTGTTTGCCAGTCACAGAATTTGCTAGTCTCTAAAGTTATATCATAGATAAAACATACTCCCTTAGTAGATTTCTCATCCTTATGGAACAGCTGAAGACAATTTTATTGTTAGTTCTGTACGGTTTATGTAGAGGTCGTGTTTTGTTTACAATTTGTTTCCCGTTATTATAGCCATTTAAAACCTCGTTTAACCAAATAATATGATCTAATCATAAACAATAACCTGTCCCCTAGTTATATAACCAAACAGTAAAGCACAAATCAAGAAATTAACCCTAAAATAATAGAAACAAAGTTTCGTCGACACTAGCGCCCATGTGTCACGTACATGAACTAGACACGAAAAACGTGCTTCAAAATTTACAATGGGATGAGAAGTCTACTTGTGTTGGTTAGTCTATGGTTATATTTATTTCTACCTTATCTATTGTTCCTGAAATAGTTAATGGGTTATAAAAAGTTGCTAAAGCTAACAATCAGTTGTTCCATCAGTTTAACTTGGTAAAAGTGTTTGTGTATTCGACAGAAATCAGTAATTTAAATAGCATCTGGTGGTGGTGGCTCACAACTAGGACTATTTGGATTTTAAAAACTGGCGACAACTTAAACATGGTGATGGAATGTCTAGTTGTATCAATAGTCAAAGGTTGTACTACATTTGGATATAAAAGTATATTAATAATAGGTTAGTACAATTCTAATTCCTTTTAATAAAATAAAAGTTGCCGAGTCTTGCGATTTTCCTTGAATAGTCAACATTTCAAATCACACTAACGTTTAGTGAAAATTTTCAAATAAAATTTGTCCTGATGATTATTTGTTCAAGCTCATCCAAAATGTTAGTGAAAGTCACATTACTTGAGTCTTAGCCAAGGATAGAACTTCTGGTATACAAACAGGTTTCAAAGAGCAAGGCTAGCAGGAAATCCCCAGCTTCACTTTCAACTAACACCTGGCCAAGCCTTCTACTATCACTGTCACTATCTCTTTGTAATTCCCTGAGTTTATGAATGAATTTAGTTAAAATTCTTTACCATTAAAATTTTCAGAAGTTAGTGTCGCTGAATAGAATTAATTCATTTTGTGCGACACCATAACACTCACGGTTCTAATATAACAGATCTGCATGTTAAAAAAGGCTGCAAGTGCATGAACAATGAAGTAAATGAAAGGAAGTTGTACAGTTTAAAAGCATTGGTAACTAATATTAACAAACCTAACTTTTGCTGTAACAATTAAAAGTCTCATAATTAATTGAAGAAAGATTATAGGATACAAAAATAAAAATATTGATGTAACATAACAAAGAAAGAATATCTGTGGTAATTTATGGTTTTTTTCTTCAATTAATTAGTTAATGTCTAGATCATCTGTTAGGAACCCACACCAGATATTAATTGGTGGAGGGAGGATAGACATATCTCTATTCATATTTGATAAAGATAAAAGTCATATTCCTATATAGCTTAGTTTGTAAGTTGGATTCTTAGTACTGGATCAAAAAAAGAAAATACAATTAGAAAGAAGTATTAACATATAAGCCATACCTCATATGGTGGAATGATTTTGAGAAGCTTTTAAATGGTTCTGTTAGCAACATGTTTTGGTTGTATTGCAGTTCTACAAGAATTTTTTTACTAATTTCATTATGACTCATATTGTGATAAAACCTTACATCCAGAAGAAAAATTAAACATAATGTACATATTCTAATACAATACAGCCTCCCAGGGCAAAAAAAAACTTTTTTACGAGCCTTACCAATTAAGGTTAAATAATAAAAACTTGTAATTTTGACTTGCTTTGTCTAATGCACAACATTATTTTACAGCACTCTCATTCGCATCGTCCAGTAGGGATTTTGACCCGAGAACAAGAGCGTTTTCAGACGAGGAACTTAAGCCACAACCTATGGTGAAAAAGTCAAGAAAGCAGGTATGTAACAAATAAAATCATACTTGAAAGTCTCAAAATGCATTCAAATCTCTGTCATGTATCAAAACTTAATATGATAACTGTTTCATTTCATTGCATTTCATGTGAACACTTTACAAAACTACTTATATCATGTCAAAACCTTTGTGAAGAAAGTACATAGAAGAACCAATCAACATTTGAGACAAATTCAGAATCAATACAATCTGAAAAGGAGCAAATAATTTGTAACTAATCTTAGAAATAAATCATCCACCTTTTTGGAGGATATTTTCCAAAGTATCCATTATCCAAAATATTTCAAAATAATAAAAACATTGCTGGTAAATTATGGTTTATGAACAAATTTAATTTAATTGTATAGTAACAAATATTTTTGAGGACTTTGTATTTTATTAATTTTTATATACGGTTGTGGTAGTCTATTTTCAGTTTCGTTTTAGTAATTCAAATGTAAAGTTAAAAGCAATTTCTGTTCATTGAAAGAACATCTTCGATTAGTTATTTGATTTAGCTCATACTATCAACTTAATCCCAATCATTTTTTTAACATTTTCATTATATTATATCATTGTTATTTTCATATGTGAGCTGGGTTTAAACCTTAAGGCTCCGCTCTACCTCTGACATGCCTTGCAAATACTAAATTTGCAAAACTCATATGATAACTTTCTCATGGCTAAGTTTAACTATCAAAGTAAGTTTCAAATAAAAATTTATGCTGTTGAATCAACAATCAGGTCATCCAATAAAGTTGTGAAATTGCAAATTATTTTTCAGTATCCCAGTGAATAAAAGAGATTTAGTATTTTTGTTACCGGTAACCCAAAAGTAAAAAATAAGGGAAATAATTCATTGCTAAATACCCCACAACAACATTTTCTGAAACAAGCGAAAATTTTAGTTAACAATCAACATATCCGAAATTCAGTTTGAAAACAAGTAACTTGAGGTAGAGCGCCCCCTTACTCCTGGAGTATAACCTTAACATTGTAGCCTTTGAGTCTTACAGTTCCGTTGGTTCGTCCACGACCTCCTACAAGAAGCAGGTAGTTCTAAACAGCTCCTGCTAGCTTAGAGGAGACGGTATTTCATTTCATGTAGTCATTGCATGTACGGTGTACGGTTATGGGGTTTTTCACTTACATTTAATTCCCATTAGACTTAAGGCTTAGCTGTAAAATAGATGCGTACAATAGTACACTACTATTCCACACCTTTAAAATTTGTTTACCAAAAAACTTTGCCTAATTTTGAGGAAGTATTAGTAAAACAATTACCTGAATGTTTAAACTATTTTAAAATGGGACATAGTCCACACACAAAGTTTTCTATTTTACAGACATATCTAAATCCGTTAGTATTCAAGCTTAGTTAAAAATATCCTTTAGTGTAGTAAAAAAGAAAAGTTATTATGAATAATAAATTTTTGTATGAAGGTTGTCTGTAAATTATTGTCTACTACCAGTTAGACGTTGGTCTCAGATATGAACTAGCTCACTTGCCATTAATTGATAAACAACCCTCGTAAACAATCGTTCATAAAATGCTCTTAAATTATATTTATTTGTTAGCTTATAACTAATTGATCTCCATAATGACAAATGCAAAAAAAACAATTAAATTCATTTACCCCCTACACTCAGATTGCATTGATTTTACTAATATTAATCGGAAAGTAAATAAAATAAACGTTTTATAGCACTTAAAACATATATTTACGCTTATACTGTTACTCACAAGCCGGTAAATATACAAAAAAGATATTAAGTGGTTACCATTTATGATTACCACTTACCATCTTTTTAGTATATTTACCGTCTTGTGAGTAACAGTATAAGCATAAATATATGTTTTTAGTGCTAAAAGACATTACTTTTTATTTACTTTCTGTAAATTTAATAACACGTACAATGCTGATCAAGAAGTTATTTAATATTAATCTTGATATTTAAGAAAGAATTGGTAAAATATCAGATATTTTAAGAATTTCAATCTCAATTGTATACATCTGTTTTATTTATAGTGATGCACATTTGGAAACTTTTGAAGGTGTGGTTAAGTAGTGGTTCGTTAAAATGTTTAGATTTGACTATCCTCTGATGCATATATAGTTTAAAATACAACTATAATACAAAAAAGTCATATCAAAATGCATATAGTTTATTATAAAGTTGCTATACACAATGTTTTTTGTAGTTTCCGTTCCAAAATGCATCATTTTCGTTCCAAACGATATTGCTATTGCAAAAATCTAATTGTTGATAGTGTTAAAGACAAATTTAGAAAGAGGATGTTATCTTGATTTAGGGCACCTTTAATTTGTTGAAGAATATTGGTATTTAATTGTTTGTATTTAGTTATGAATAAAAACTGTTGTTATTTTACAACAGATCTTGTTCAGGAAAATATTTTACTATTTCTAAAATTAAAACATAAAACTGTGACTAAAATGTAAAATTTTTAAGCCGTCCAAAATTTGTATGATGCAGGTTGAAATGGGAGGGGGGTCGGACGAAGCTTCAAGCACCTTTTCATGGCAGGGACTCGGGCCGGCTTCTCAAGATTCTGATGTAAATGATTAATTAATTTAATTTAATTAACACGTAATTAACATTCTTCCATAGTATATTTTGTTATGTTTATCAAAGCACAAAAGTTAAATGAATAAAGTAGTGCCTTATTTTCTAAACATTGGAAACTATATTAATAGAAGTAAACATTTGAGTAATTTAGTCACAGGCCTTAGTCCCTTTCGATATATACAGATTAGTGTTGGTTTTAATTTAAGTTTTCATAAAACCCTATTGAAGTAACTCCCACATAAATTATCTGTACATAGAGTAGGTAGCTTTAGTGATACTTTAGAGTATGTAGTTAATCTATTAGACTAATTTTAACATTTGTTCACAGTTTGTTCCTGATGGGCTAAAGGATGAGAAGTACTGGGCGAGACGACGTAAGAACAACATGGCCGCCAAGCGATCACGCGACGCTCGCAGGCTTAAAGAAAACCAAATAGCTCTCCGCGCAGGCTTCTTAGAGAAAGAGGTGTGTATGAGCAATCATAACGTCCATCATATCATTGGTGAAGTTTTACAGGGGCACAAAAATGGTTTTCTATTTTTACCAGGGGTGCCCAGAGAGGGAATAGTGGTGTACTTGTGTTACTGGGATTTTTGGGGGTTTTACAATACACATTCATATTGGTAAATTATAAAGTTTTTATAATAAGTATTTTTTCTAAATTCATACACTGTAGCAACACTTGTAATTAAGATTTGCTTGTTGCAACAGCACAATAACTTCTCGATTGCGAGAATTGCTGATTAAGCAATGATCGTGGGATATGATGATAATGTCTTTGCGAACATTGGGGATTGTCAAGATTTTGCCCTGACCACAGAGAAATGTCAAGATAAGGGAAGAAAGCAGGGAATGTAAACAAATTGCTGTGATAGCTTTGCTCAACGAAAAAGCACAAAGTCTTCGCAACCGTGAGATATGCTCTTAATTAAGCCATTCTTGCGTGTGACTGAGGCAATGGTGGTGTCTTTCTTGATTGTGGGAGTGGTAGATGCTCTCATTTGCTGTGATCACCGTGGATGTTAAAAATTGTGCCGTGATCGCAGGAGATGATCTTGATAGGGCCTCGATCACGGATTATTGTCATAACGACATTACGTTTGGTCAGATAGAAGACCACAGTTTCAGAGAGGACGCAGGAAGAAAATACTAACTACTATAATTTAGTAATAGCATATTAGAGACGGGTACACATAGACCTAATTATTTAAATACCATTAAATGAATTGGTGAAAATTTCTTTTCCATGGATTTAATACCTTGTGGTTTATGTTTAGAACCTTGGGCTTCGGCAGGAGATGGAACGACTCAAGAAAGAAAACATGACGTTACGGGACAGGTTGTCCAAGTACACGACGGAGATTTAGGCAGCTGAGGATGTAGCGTGCTACGACTAACCAGCAGACGACAGAATCTCAGACGCAGTGTCTCCGTCGGGGACCGTAACCAGCCTCGGCTGCGGAAATTCATTGTGGAAAACTCTCTGGTGCTGAGCTCTTCACCCGCAGATTTCTCTCTTTCAGCTGTGAATTAAGTGTCCTCAAAGATAAGCCAATTACGAGATATATAGTTGTAAATTTTATATTTTATTGCTATTACCCAGTCAGACCTAGACGCTGCACAATTATTAGTTAACATCACAGTTATCAGCTATTATATATATGTTTACCATCAATTTTTTCTGAGCACATCTTCAGACTAAATTAATTTTTGATCCCTTTGTTAGTTACTTAATTTTATATAAGATATTTTAATTATTACTATATACAAATCTGATTAAGTAGTACAGTAGTTTTATAGATTTTGTTATGTTTTAGTCAGAAATATTTACTTTGATTTAAATATTTCTGAGGTTCTTGTTTTGTATATTTATAACAAAAAGATGTTGTATATAAACCACATAGTTTTATTTTTTCATCTAAAACTCAGGAGTTGCATCACATTTTTGGATTTGTATAAACAATATTCCTGGAGGTATATTTTGGGGATTAATCGGGATGGGAAGTATTTTAGAGCCGTTAGTGTTAGAGGCGTAGGTAGCCTACCTACTCTAGCTGACTGTGTTGGAACATGTCGTAGCTTCTGAGGTGTTACTCTGCCTCTTACAACGGTTTGATGGAAATGGTCAAATATATTTTGAATGCCTTTTCTAGGTCATTCTGTTACCTTGTACATTATAATGTTTTAAGTGAGTTAGACATGTGATAACATAACATTGCAATAGATTATACTTAGATGGATATTAATTTTTATCACCGCGTAATATTTTTTGATCGAATATTATATGTTTTTGACGCAATATATGTTGTGCTAAACGTGCAGTTTAGAGTTACCTTGCGTTGTGCGCTACATCATCTACCATATGCTGTAGATCAGTAGACTCCTAGCTATGTCTGTCAATGTTTCCACTCTTATTTCCCCTCTGAACATTTGACAATGACTAAACTATGTTTAGCTTTGCAATATGCGTTTTGATGCATTCATGCATCCAAACAAACTGTTTGTTACTGTATGTTGATGTTATGCGGTGTTCAAAAAAATATAAATTAATAAAATTTAAATGTTTGACATGCTTTACCTGTAGTTAATTGTCATTAGCTTTTAGATGTTATATGGTTAAATATTTTAAGATTTATAAATTAGTAAGCTTGGTTTAAAATGTAGTGTAGAAATATGAATTGATTTAAAAATGTTTCTGTTTACTGTAGGCGTTGTAATTATCGTAACTACATTTTAAAACAAAAAAAAAGTGCAGTTAGTTGAAAAAATAATTTATAATCATAAAATTATAATATTTTACTATAACTAGAGAAATATTAGGTATATACTTTATAATTGCAAAATACAAATTAATATTATATATCAATTAAAATATAAATTTTAAAAAAATTATCCGATTTTTAGTCCAACAGCACCATTAAGGAACATAGAACAGAATAGAAACAGTTTATTGGAATCAAAATACACTGTTTTTTCTGTTTGAAATCATTAGCTTTAAATTTACAATTTAGTTTTCATTTTAGAAGCTAGTTGGCATATTATGGTTTTAAGGCATGTTAAAAAATCTGCCATGACATTTCAAACCGTTATTTAGCATCAAATGACATATTTATTTGTTTCCCTGCTAACATTTGATAGATCTCAAAAGTGAATTTGACAAAAATTGTTTGGTAAAATTTGTTGTAAAACTCTTAATATGGGGTAGCAATAGATTCACGACATTTAATATCCAGTTATTTGTCTATTCTCTGTTTTTAGGGAAATTTCCAATAGATTTCAACCGCAAAAAAATTGTAAAGTACTTAAAAATGATTGTGTTTTGGTCAATAAATATTACCCAAATACTAAATACTATCTTATTCATGTTTGGAAATTTTAAAAAGTATCATCAATATTCAAACAAAGATAAAAGTGTGAGCTCTTTCAACCACAACCCTTGTAAATATAAACTATCATACACACAACCAAAAAGAGTGATTTATAAAAATAACTTATGTTTAGTAAAATAATTTTTAGGTGTAATTTCTTGTTGTAATTATGTATTTCGGCATCTTGCTGCTCGTTAATGTTTTATGTAAGTCTAGTAGAATGAAGATTTCCTGTACTGTGAAACCAATTTGGGTATAGATGTTATTTTATGTTAAGTACATGCATGTGAAATACATGGTATGTTAATCTTGTTTCATTCTTTAAATTGTATCAAATACTGTAGTCTATAAATAAAGTGTTTTCAAGATAATGTTAACAGAGTAGTTGAATTATTTCTCTTTGAGGTCAAATTTCGGATGAATAGGGATAAGGATAGCTAGGCAGGAGAACCTGGATATACCATTAACTGTCCACTACGGGTCTGTAGGATTCATGGAGAAAATTATGGGTCATGCCGGGCCAACTGTTGACTTATAGATTGGTCCGGAACAGAAATAATTTTTGGGCCAAGCTCGGTCGGGTCATTGGTATTAGAGATGTGTGTGCTGCTAGATTTTAAAGGAAATACTTTCAAAGATTGCATGCCGATTTTGGTCAGACCCAATTTCGGCTCGAGACCCGACTTTAGCCCAGCTAGACAAAAAAAGGGGATTAGTGTCTAATAAGTGGAATTTTTAATGGCAGAATTTAAATTTTAGGGAAAGCGGTCTAAACTCTTTGGCGCGGTTATAAATACCACTAATTTACTTCAACGGACATAAAATTTCTTTACATTTAATGAACATTGCTCAGTGTAGCAGCTTCAGCTGATAAGACACATTGCTGGTTCAATACCAGCTGTTAACATTATCTTATTACTGAGGTGACCACTGGCTTGTTGTAAATGGTAATTTGCTGTCTTAGATCACTTCACAGGTCAATAGTCTATGGTGACAGACAAAAATTAAAGAAAACAAATTCTTCATTTCTTTGGTGTCTGACAAGATGCAGGAATATTAAAAACTTTGAAGACGGCTTAAGTTTTGTCAAAAATATTAAAAACGTTTGTGTACAAACCATACCTTGGGACTAGCTGTTTCTCACCTCAAACATTAAAAGCTTAGTTTTTTCAAAAGGAAAAAAATTCTGTCAACAAAAATTGGTTTGCAGTACCACAGAAAAGTAAGGCAACGTGCTTATGGAACAACCGTTTGCTTTCAGCCCTGGTGTGTTGTGCCAGAAAAATACTTGTGATGAGCAAGGAAGAGCCTGGTTCCTAATAAGGTTTATGTTCCCTGGCTTCTGTCTCCGATCCACGGTAGTTTTAAGAAACTACAGCTGTTTCGTGCCTTCTACTGGCACATCCTCAGGTTTGGTGAACACCAGCTTTTCTATAAAATATCCCTCGGTGTTGAGTTCGTCATGGTTTTACGAAATACATGTAGACATTTACACACACGAAAACACGCACGAAACATTTAAACACTAAATTAAGGAACGACTGCGAAACGTGATACGGCGCCGGTGAAGTGTAAGTCGCGACTGTCACGTGTCGGCAGCGCTGACCCCTACCCCTGTTCTATCCTTATCTATTCTTTCTTTTGTTTGGTAATCAGATATCAGGATGGCTGTGTTGTAAATTATATTAGACTCAAAGGACTGTTTTTCGTTCAAAATATGATGTGCTTGTTCTTTTGATGCCCTATATATTTCGTATTCTTCTATCGTATGGCGTCCTTTATTGCAAAAGCGTAAAATATCTAGATTATTGTGAATGTCTGTATAGTTATGGTTTGTGGCTGTTAGGTGGTTGGAAGAAGCTGATTTAGAGTTCTTTTTCGGTAGGTGCTCTTTAAATTGGGTTGTGAAAGATCTGGCAGTTTGTCCTATATAAAAACTGGGACAGTTGTCACATTTTAATCTATAGATTCCGGTTTTGTTGTTGTTGTTATTCTTAAAACTACCGTGGATCGGAGACAGAAGCCAGGTAACATAAACCTTATTAGTGCTAATTTTAACGATCCAGTGGCCAACCATCATTAAGCCTGGTTCCTATCGCACAAGGCACAGGGTCTTCCTCCCAGGAGTGGTGTTGGAGTTTGCCCTAGGCTCATCAAGCACAAGTGCTGGACACCATTCCATTTCGTTTTGTCATGAGAGCAAGAAACTCCCTGACTGCTAACCCGGTACCTATAATTAAACATACCCGGGCCCCATGATGTAGGCCGAAGCTTTCGCACCGACCTTTGGTACACCATGGGAGGATGACTTAAGGTCATCAAGCTCACCGGCTGCCGAAGCAACCCTTCGGAAAGAGGGTTGCCCCTCAATCCTAACCAGGGATACCGGCTACTTGTTTAAGCGTCACTTCACCTGGGTTCCCCCAGGTACGGAACCCAGAAGGACCATAGTGAAATGCCCTGACGCATTTAGTGCAAGCAACACTCGGGACCTATCCAATCCCTGACAGGCAAAACCCGCCATCAAAGCCAGGAAGAAGGGGACCACCAGCAAGCTGATGGGGGGAACCCCAACCACCCATTTACACCACTACCCGATCGAGGCCTTACCCAGTTGCTGGGAAACCAGAGGTGACCAAGGCGATAGATCCCTGAACACCCCCAGCGGGCTTGAACCCAGCACCCGATCTACTTCATTTGCCCATCAAGCCCAACATCACTGCCAGGCCGTCAGGGTTTTCCAAAAGGAGGCAGGAATAGAAGTGGGTCCCACCCGGATGAACCTATCCACCAAAGGTGGCGACACCCTTTGCTCAATTGAGGTTCCAGGGAGAACCCCCCACACTCTAGATAACCATACCTTCCGGTCTCAGAGACAGGGATTGGCTGATGGAGTGCGCCCAGCCGTTGCCCTCACACTGCGGAAAGTTACGTTCCCCTAGAGTGTCCCCGTGAACTGACGGGTACTTGCCCGATTTCACCTCCAGGAAGGCTACTTCCAAAGTCGAGGATTTGCCACACTGAATGCCGGTCGCACATCAACAAGAGGGCCGGAGCCCAAAGGATCATAGCTACAGGCAGATGATAGATTGGTGGCGCACTTCCACCTCTTGCAGAGCTGAACACCCCCCATAACCTGGATGGGGAAATGTCACTGGGTACTCTCACTTTGGGTAAACCCAAAGAGGCTGGCTTGTCCAGTCGTCCATAACTATGACCTACTTGCAATGCCGATTCCGACACCGAGCAGTTACCTCCCCTTTGGGGGCTAACTCACCCAATTTTTCACCTCCCAGGACGAGGCTACTTCCAGAGCCGAGGATATGCCTCACAAAAAGTCAGTCGTACACAACAGGCAGGACGAGCCCGAAGAACTCCAGTCACAACCACAGCTACAGGCAGGTGGGAGACCGAAGTCTCGAAGTGCTGGACACCACTTATGTGTACCATTGAGTGTACCCTCTTTTCCTTAATTACGTCTCTGTGGCCGAACTGCTGACAAGAGTCTTTATGGTTCTGGCCAGGTACTCAGTAAGTGAAAAAGTGTAATGCCGGCTGCTTGTGTGCATCAAATCCTACACACATGAGACAGTGACAAGGGTGGCTAGAGACTGCTACCATGTTACTACAGTCACAACATAGATGGGACTGTCGAGGGGGGCCTCTTCAGCCTCAATTATAGACCTATTCTAGTCGCTTCTGCGTCATGAATGAAACCTGAATAGTATAAATTTAGACAGAAACTATCATGTTCCCCAAAAAAATTCTACTGTTAGCCTGTGGGTAAACACAAATACTTGGGACAAATTAGCCAAAGTAATTCAAATTAATTCAATTTAGTATAATTCAGTAGAATTTAATAATTCAATATAATACACACAGTATAATTCAATATACTAAATTATTTGTTTTTTTATGCTCTACAAAATGGTGTGAAAATAAATTGTAAAATTGGTTCGCGAACTCGTTCGAATAAATGTAGGTTTACACGTTTGTACCAAATTTCATCAAAATCGGATCATTTTTGCTCGAGTTATTGTGCTAACGGACACATATATATATATATATTATATATATATATGAATTTGAACGGATGGTGTTTTTGGTCTCTGGGGACCTCAAAATGAAAAACTAAATCGGTCTCGGGTCCAGGTCTTACCATGAGACCTACGGTAATAGCCTATTCCCTATATGGGAAATTCGCTAAAAATGCTAAAAGGCAGAAACCAACCCATACAATAGATATAAGTTAACTCCATGAAAGAGAAGAGTTACTTTGATAATAGGATTTTCCACTGATTTGGTAATAGAACATTATATTGCAAAACATGACACGATGCAGTAAAAAATCCATTTTAAAATCAGAAAAACCTATTGCAAATACTGTACTTCATTTTGACAAATTCAATAAATTACAATTTAAACATTAACAGCTGTTTTATTAAAAAGTAGTGTAGAATTATGCATATTGTCGTAATGTAAACAAATCTGAAGAGGCAACTTTAAAGGCTTCTGGGGCAGAGCCCTAAGGGAATTGACCTCGTTCCTCTTTTGATGGCTCATCTACAGACCTACCCCTTTCTTTAGAGACCCATACCAAGTTTCTACGCCCAGCCGTTCTCTCAAATTAGCCGTGAAAAAACCCCTGTTTTCCTCCATAAGAATAACATGGGATGGGAATTCAAAGGCCACTGGGGCAGAGCCCCAAGGGAATTCACCATGTTTCTCTTTTGATGGCTCATCTACAGACCAATACCTTTCTTTACACACCTCTACCGAGTTTCTACGCCCAGCCGTTCTCTCAAAATAGCTGTGACAAAGAAAAACAGTTTCAAATTAATATGCAAAACATGACACGATGCAGAAAAAAATCCATTTTAAAATCAGAAAAACCTATTGCAAATACTGTACTTCATTTTGACAAATTCAATAAATTACAATTTAAACATTAACAGCTGTTTTATTAAAAAGTAGTGTAGAATTATGCATATTGTCGTAATGTAAACAAATCTGAAGAGGCAACTTTAAAGGCTTCTGGGGCAGAGCCCTAAGGGAATTGACCTCGTTCCTCTTTTGATGGCTCATCTACAGACCTACCCCTTTCTTTAGAGACCCATACCAAGTTTCTACGCCCAGCCGTTCTCTCAAATTAGCCGTGAAAAAACCCCTGTTTTCCTCCATAAGAATAACATGGGATGGGAATTCAAAGGCCACTGGGGCAGAGCCCCAAGGGAATTCACCATGTTTCTCTTTTGATGGCTCATCTACAGACCAATACCTTTCTTTACACACCTCTACCGAGTTTCTACGCCCAGCCGTTCTCTCAAAATAGCTGTGACAAAGAAAAACAGTTTCAAATTAATATATAGATTGTTAAACTTTGAGACCAAATCCAAAAACAAATAGGTAGGTACTTACTTTTTTGTCCTATGATGCATGAGTTCTAGCTCTGGATTGTTTTTTACGTTACCTAGGAGTTGCATTATCAATTAGATAAAATCCATTTTTGTGTTCTGATGACATATGAACCCAGGACGCCAGGGACCGAAATCCTGCGCTCTCTACCACTCACATACATAAATACATACCTATTAAAATGGCTATGAATTTAAACTACGGTATTTAAAACGGAACCTTCCATTTTATCATCAACAATTGATTACTTATTTTGCTTCTGACAAATAAGGTAAATTACAACCTTTGAGCATGCTGGATAGAACTACTAGACATCCTATTCCCATGTTAACGTTGTAACCAATTGTAGATTAAAATTTATTTACGTTGTATTTAGCCGCCAATATTGTCCCGGTGTCAATTACTCAAGTATACTGTATACACCAACTTAAAAAAGGCCAAACCGAAAGATCAATTTTTTTGTAAACTTTAAAGCATAATTCATGCCACTTTACTGTAACAATCAAAAGTAGGTAGATTGATAAAGTGAAAACTAAACTAAGGGATAAATATTAACCAAATTTATTGAATAGTTATTTGTGCAACTAGTGAGAAAAGTGAGCAATTGACTCACTCGAGAGAAATCCTTACTCACGAGCCGTAGGCGAGTGAGGAATGGTTTCTCGAGTGAGGCAATTGTACTTTGAACTCGAGTTGCAAATTATACTTTTCCTACAGTTACCATAAAACAAATAAATTTGTGAAGAAACATAACCTATTTTTACACAGAAGTGAACTTTTAATATAACATTTAATGTGAAGTGACAAATACAACAGTACAACAGCTGACCAGCTGATTTACTGCCAGTGCTGCCAACGTATTTCGCGCGCATACGACGTTGCCTGCATGTTACGCGCTCACTATTTCGTGCCTTCACGTTGCAAATCTGGAGTGAGACAATGTTAACATTGTCTCACTGATGAGCGAATTGGCCACTTTGCTTTCTCAAATCAGTGAGAGAACATGTACATTGTTAGGTAACTGTAGGAAAATGAATTTATCTTCTATTTAATTGGAAATTGGGGGTCCAGAGATAGGTACTTCAGAGTCCAAAAGTTGATGGTACAACATGACCATATTTGGATGTCCACAGCTGATTACTTCCCCCCCCCCCGTTTTTGTAGCCCCCTCCATAGGTCTGGAAGTAGGAGAACTGGCCTTGAATTGCTATCTCTGTTTGGTTGTCATCTTGACCATTTGTCTGCTAACATCATGTTATCAACTACTTCCTGTGTTCTCTAGTGCTGTGGCAGTGATAAGATGGAGAGGTCCTGTTTATTAAAAACTTTTAATATTTTATGTTTTCTGTTAGCATTGGACTCAGGTGAGTTTATTGAATTTTGTGAGAAATGAGTTTGATTTTGTACATTTTCCATTTAGTTGTTAAACTTTTTACAAAAAATAACAAATTTTATTTTTAATATACTGAAACAAATTGTCAAGCAATTTATGGCATTAAATTTCTATTGTGTATTAATCCAATAATCTATGATACCACTTAAATGCATTTATTCATATAGTTTTATTTATGATTTGTAATAGTAATTTACTGTGTAATTATAATATTGAGTGGTTATACTGGTGCTGCTTGACATCAAATGACAGTGTATTGCCTTTTATTTGACTGGATTTTAAACCTATATGTGGTTTTGTAGAGGGAAATTCCCAATACAAAGTAGCATCTAAACTTATTGGTCATGTCATTATCATATTATAAATTGCTGGTATTCCGTCTTACCATTTTGAGTATAACGTGTATACGGTCTTACTCAAATGTTGTTAAAATTTTTAAATGACAATCGAAAATGTTAGACAAAAGACAATATTCCTTATTAACATATTCGTTGAGAATAGTACAGCGTCATATTTACAGGTGAGTTACAGAATTATTTCATATTTTAAGGTCATGCGATGAATTCTTTTTCGGTGTAGAATGGTCTCTCTAGCAGCCAATCTGTGGGGTGTTTTTTAAAAAAAGCTTGTTGGATAAAAGAAATTAGAAACTGGAAAGAGAATGTAAACCTATTTATCGTTTACTTTCACATCATTTACATGTACTTAATGAGTCAATGGCAGATCACAAAGCGTGCAAACCTCTACATTCAGTTGTTAATGGACTTACATAAAACAAAACAATAAAAAACACAATAGGGAACAAACAAGTCATTTGAGATACACGGTACTTTCAAAAAGCATATTCTGCGGCAATCAAACCATTTAAAAAAATCTGATCCTGCCAAAGCTGACAATATATGTATTGTCATTGAGGATTCGGCTACTAAATTCTAACAACAGTAAATGTTGGAAGCTAGGTACAGAAATCTATATTATTAAAAGAATTTATTGGATTTTTGTTTGCAACAAATCGACCCCTTAATATTTTATTTTTATGTGCATATTTGGTATCAATTGAAAGCTCTTATCCTCTAGATGTGCCTTTGCGGGTTTGGATGATATCTCGTGAAAGCCCTTTCCTACAGGCTTTTACAATTTCATAGTTTGTGCTGAATTCTGTTGTCAATCATCTGAAATTTTTCTTCTTTACATTTGTTTACATCAAAACAGATGGTCATAATACAATTTTGTTTACATCCTTAAAAAAATGGGGTTATCCATCATATTTTTTTTACTTTAGGTTACAATCTGTTCTATAAATATGTTCATGCAAGGCCCCACTGGAAAAAACAGGCCATGCTGCAGCGCGGGTAGCGCAACACTACGACACAGTGGTGGATAGTTGTACTAAACTCTTACCATTAAAATTGTACAGTCAGCTTGTTTATTTACCTAAAACATATGGGATTGGTGATGGCAATGAATTTATCAATGAAATCTATCCACTAGTGTGACGTCATGGATCCTGCAGCATGGCCTGCTTTTTCTAGTGGGGCCTTGGTTCATGCCACAACAAAGTAACTTTTGAGGATTAAAAATAGCTGCTAAGTTTTTGCTGAATTCTGGCATCAATCATCTGAACTGTTTCAACTTTACATTTGTTTACATCAAAACAGATGGCCATAATACAATTTTGTAAATATCAATACGAAAATATGGGGTTATCTGGAGTTGGTGATGTTTCAGTCAATTTAAGTCAAATAATGTAATGCTTTTTATATAAAATGTAAAGAAGAAAATTACAAGTTGGATTTTGTGTTCTGATAGGATTTTGGGTTTTCATACTAATGTTTCATTAGCATTTGAAGGGATCGCACACACAATGAAAATAATAGGGATTTGATGAGAAATAATCGTTTTCACCCTTATCACTATATATATCACGGATTATGAAGTCACGAAGTGACGCAGGCTGCTAGTAAACATTACAAAGTTTTCTACTGATGATGAAGTTGGTGAAACTATGGCTCTTTAAAGTTGTCCATCTAGAGTATATTTTTGTCTTTTTTGGGGGAAAGGGAACAGTCGTATATTTGCAAGTCTTATATAACTCTTTGAGTCACAAATACTGTTCAATCAGCCAAAAAGAGTTACAAATCAAACCTTCCCTTCAAGCTGTCTATGCAAGCACAGCCAAAATAAATATGCTGAAAACTGATTATTCTGACATTTTCTGCAACCTGGAAGCATTTCTTAGAACTACTACATGCATAAGCGTTGTGTTTACCAATATTGTTATAGTAGTAGACGGTAAACCATTAGTTCTGTTCCATGGTTGATTTGAAATTATTAATGGTTACAAATAAAGAAAGGATTGGTGTCGTTAACAAAGAGAACTTTTCTCTCATTTGCATTGCAGGTATGCCACTACATCTATTTTGTTTAAAGAAGTTGATGGCTTCTTTTAACTTTATACTTCCCCGTCCACATAGTCGTTAGGCCTGTGGGTGGAACTTATCCAGCAAAACAAGGTGTGGGGTGAGCTTATACCGTACAAGAGTTGAACTGTTCTGTTTTGTGGCAAACACCAGTATTCGAACCAACATAATCGCAAGCAAACCCCTGTACTCTGTCCTGTTTCTGACGGACCAACTGTCTCACCAGATACCTTCATTGTGCCTTCATTAACCTAATCTGGTTTGTTTATGTAGTGACAAATTCCTATAAATAACAATATAATAAAACATATACCGTACTTTATACTTTACAATGAAATGGCGACCATACAAAGTAGGTATTTTAAGCCAAGTATGAATGGAGATGAGTGTAGGATGAGTGGCGCGACCTTGTTGTCTTGTTAGTGACTGAGGTCGACTTAGACACAGCTGTTAATTAATAGCCCATACAGCTAATGGTAACTAAGGGACCTACAGTTTATAGTGGAATCCAAACCACATTTTTGCCTTGGTATATACGAATTGGTCTAAATTTCTGGATAGCACTGCGGATAGTCGTAGTACTCACTCGTGCGGACGTTAATCCATACCAGGGAGTAATGCATCCACAGTGCACGCCTATAAATATCCACAATTCTTAACCTCCTAGTAGCTGGATTACAGGACGATGCCACCCATCCCAGTTCATAGATTGAGAGTAAGTTATTTCTGTTAACATTGGTGAAAAAATGTTAAATTATTGCATTATATTCCAGTTAGGTGCAAAAATGAAGAGTTCCTGTCAAAAATAAAATGTTCCACTGAACAGAGAACACAGCAAGAAGCAGTCAAAGGTTTAATTAATAGAGTTATTGGGAATCGAAGTGAAGAGTTTAACGTAATAGTTAATACACAGCTATCAAAAGAGGGTAAAGATGTTTTTAAGGTAAGAATAAATTTTTCTACCGTAGTAAGTTGAAAATAAAATGTAACTAAAACTAATGTTAGCTATGTTAATTAGGAAATAAATCTGACAATTGTTAGGGAATATTTTAGTAGAAATCCAGCCAGGTAATTTCGGAAATTCGATTAGTCAGCAGGTTTGCTGCGGCGAGGGTATTTTTCTCTAATACGGTTTCAAGTAACTTTGGCAGATGAATTACCTATAATCCTATACCTATAATGAGGGAGATTTCTACAAAACACTACTCCGTTAATAATGGACTGATTTTTACAAACAATGTGTCAACATTAAGTATTTTTTGTGTAGACGCCCCCTTTCACCAGTTCCTGTAATAAAAGTCCTTGGGCCTAATTTATTTAGTTCTGTATTATTTGTTGTTTTAAGAAAAGGTTTCCCTTAGTTTGTATAAAGGGGTGTTCGGGTGCTTTTGGACACTCGGTATACTCAATGTTTTATTTATATGTAGGCTATATTTCCTTGCAAAATTAATAGTATTATCTTTCTGTTACTGCCAAAAATTATTTTTGAATTGGTGAAATGAACCTACTTGTATTAATACCATGAACATAAAATAGCATTGAATGGCTAATGGTTGTGGAGATAAACATGAAGGTACATACTTAATTTATATCCTCATAAACACTTTTTGTAAACCATAAAGTATTTTGGTAAACTTATTTATAAACAGATTTTCAAATCGGCAAGCAGTAAGACAGTGGACATTGAGGGTTCTACAGGAGTAGCAGCAGCTTGGGGTTTCCATCACTACCTCAAATACTTCTGCAACTCTCATGTGTCTTGGAATGACAATCAAATTAACCTTCCGACAGAACTGCCTTCTGTAGATGTTCATATCACCTCCAATGACAGGTTTGATCAAATAAACTAAATATATATTGTCGGGACCACGTAAGTTTGCAGTTGGTGGCAGCCAATCACAAGACAAGGCTAGTGCGACGTTGCCACATCGCCCATTGACAACACTAACTAGAATATACAAAGCAATATTTTCAAATCAGCTGGTACTAGGTGGCGTTTGCAGAGGCATCCACAAAATTGAGCGGAGTTATCAAGGGTTTATATTATATTGTTTTGGTCATACTGCAGAAATACCAGTCGTTTTTCATGCATGCGTTGCGGGTCTAAAGTAGCATTTTTACTCTTTAGGAAGTAAAAATAGTTTTTATCCTCTATGGAGTAAAAATCAGCTGTTGTCAACTCAGTTGTAAATTACTATTATAAACGATTGCATGTATCGAAATAAGTATCGATTCGTGCTTCGTAATTATTTTAATTTACAGTCTACAGTCTCTTCCCATAGTGTTTTAGCATTGCAGATACATTAATCCATTCCCACACTCAACACGCTCACCTTTACTACTTCCTCACCACCCCCTACGTCGTGGACATATTTCCCTCTCTTCCCATAGCATTTTAGGATTGCAGATACATTAATGTAATTGCCAAAGACAGTTCCCACACTCTGCAATGCAAGCATTACTACTTCCTTCGCCATTTCCTACGTCATAGACTTGTTTCCTTCCCTTCTCATAGCATTTTTGGATTAAAGATAAATCAATCTAACTGCCATAGACGGTTTTCACACTATGATCATACTTTACTACTTTCTAAGCCATTTCCTACATCGTGGACCTGTTTTCATCACTTTCCATAAAAATTTAGTATTTTAGATACATTAATCTAATTGCCACACACATTCCCCACACTCCGCACTGCTAGCCTTTACTACTTCTTTCACCATATTCTATGTCGTGGGGATGCTTCCATCCCTTCTCATAGCATTTCAGCATTGCAGATACATTACTAACCGCTACAAACGGTTTCCAGTTCCCACACTCCACACTGCTCACCTTACTACTTCCTTCACCTCTTCTTACGTCGCGGACATGTTTCCCTCTCTTCCCATAGAATTTTAAGATTGTAGATACCTTAATCTAATCGTCATAAACAGATCCCACTCTCCAGACAGCTCACCTTGACTACTTCCTTCACCACTTCATACGTCTCGGACCTTTTCTCTCCCTTCCCATAGCATTTTAAGATTGCAGACAGTGCCGGATTTACCACTAGGCCGATTAGGCCCCGGCCTAGGGCCGCAAGCAAAAAGGGGCCGCAGAGGATTGAGAAAAACATTTTTTTCATAAAAAAATTATTTAATTTAAACCACTAGTTTGCCGCAATCACAGGTGACCATAATGATGTCTCCGCGGACCGAGGGAGATGATCACAATTTTGCCGTGGCCGCGGGTGACGGTGATGATGTCCCAGTGATTGCAGCCCGCGGGAAACGTTCACGGGCCGCGGGTGACGGTGATGTGTCCTCATGATCGCAGCCCACGGGAGACGTTCAAGAATTAGCCGCTGTCGCGAGTTGTCAATGATGATTTCCCCGTGATTGCGGCCCGCGGGAAACGTTCACGGGCCGCGGGTGACGGTGATGTGTCCTCATGATCGCAGCCTACGGGAGACGTTCAAGAATTAGCCGCTGTCGCGAGTTGTCAATGATGATTTCCCCGTGATTGCGGCCCGCGGGAGACTTTCACGATTTAGCCGTGGCCGAGGGTGACGGTAATGTGTCCTCATGATCGAAGACCGCGGGAGACGTTCAAGAATTAGCCGCTGTCACGAGTGTCGATTCTTTTAACTTTATTTAACATTTTCTGTAGAATATTTCATATTTTATATAACATATGTAACAAAACATGTTGACCTTGTCTATTTTAATGTTTATATTACTAAACGACAATAAAGATTTATTATTATTATTTATTGTAAAAGTTAGGGCCACATGGACCTTTCTTACACTTAACCTATCATAAATATAACACATATATTTTAACAATTACATCAATATACAACAAAACAAAATTTAAATCATGGATACAGAAACTTTAAACGTTGATGATGATGTCCCCGTGATTGCGGCTCACGGGAGATGTTAACGATTTCGCCGCGGCTAAAGGTGTCAATCCCGAGTGGGATGTTTACGTTTTGGCACGGCCGCGGGTAACAATGATGATGTCCTCATGATCTCAGTTTTCAAGAGATGTTTTCAATACGACTTTGCCGCATTCGTAAGTGTCGATGATGATGTCCCCGTGACTGCTGCTTCGCGGGTGGTGTTTACGATTTTGCCATGGTCGCGAGTGTCGATGATGATGTCCCCGTGATTGCGGACCGCGGGAGATGTTCACGATTTTACTGCGGTTGCGGGTGACGGTAATGATGTCCTCAAGGTCACAGCTCACAGAATATGATGACGATTTCGCCGCGGTTGCGAGTGCTGAGGATGATGTCCCTTTGTTGCAGCCCACGGGGGATGTTTACGATTTTGCCGCGGTCACGGATACCTATGATGGCTTTGACTTGGTTTAAGAAAGATGTCCACGATTTCATCCACGATCACGGGTGTTGATGATGATATCTCCTTGATGCATAGGAGATATTCACTATTACTTCCGCGATCGCAAGGAATTTCCACCACAGAGGGAGGGCCGCTCAAGTAATTTGGCCTAGGGCCACAAGTACCCTAAATCCGGCACTGATTGCAGATCCCATAATCTAATCGTCATAAACAGTTCCCAGACTGCTCCAGACTGCTCGCATTTACTACTTCCTTTACCACTTCCTACGTCATTGCAGATACCTTAATCGTCATAAAAGGTTCCCACACTCCAGACAGCTCACCGTGACTACTTCCTTTATCACTTCCTACGTCGCAGACCCGTTTTCCTCCCTTCCCATAGCATTTTATGATTACAGATACCTTAATTTAATCGTCATAAACAGTTCCTACACTCCGGACAGCTCGCCTTGACCACTTCCTTCATCACTTCCTACGTCGCGGACCCGTTTTCCTCCCTTCCCATAGTATTTTATGTTTGTTGATACCTTAATCTAATCGTCATGAACAGCTCCCACATTCCAGACTGCTCGCCTTTACTACTTCCTTCACCACTTCCTACGTCAAGGACCTGTTTACCTCCCTTCCCATAGCATTTTAGGATTGCATATACCTTGATCTAATCGTCATAAACAGTTCCCACACTCCCGACAGCTCATCTTGACTACTTCCTTCATCATTCCTACATCGCGGACCCGTTTTCCTCCCTTCCCATAGCATTTTATGTTTGTTGATATCTTAATCTAATCGTCATGAACGGTTCCCACACTCCAGACAGCTCGCCTTGACTACTTCCTTCACCACTTCCTACGTCGTGGACCTGTTTTCCTCCCTTCCCACATCATTTTATGATTGCAGATACCTTAATCTTATCGTCATAAACAGTTCCCACACACCGGACAGCTTGCCTTGACTACTTCCTTCGCCACTTCCTACGCTATGGACCTGTTTCCCTCCCTTTCCATAGCATTTTATGATTGCAGATGCCTTAATCTAATCGTCATAAACAGTTCCCACACTCCGGACAGCTCGCCTTGACTACTTCCTTCATCATTCCTAAGTCGCGGACCCGTTTTCCTCCCTTCCCATAGCATTTTATGTTTGTTGATATCTTAATCTAATCGTCATGAACAGTTCCCACACTCCAGACTGCTCGCATTAACTACTTTTTTCACCACTTCCTACGTCAGGGACCTGTTTACCTCCCTTCCCATAGCATTTTAGGATTGCAGATACCTTGATCTAATCGTCATAAACAGTTCCCACACTCCGGACAGCTCGCCTTGACTACTTCCTTCACCACTTTCTACGTCACGGACCTGTTTACCTCCCTTCCCATAGCATTTTAGGATTGCAGATACCTTGATCTAATCGTCATAAACAGTTCCCACACTCCGGACAGCTCGCCTTGACTACTTCCTTCACCACTTTCTACGTCATGGACCTGTTTACCTCCCTTCCCACAGCATTTTATGAATGCAGATACCTTAATCTATTTGTCATAAACAGTTCCCACATTCCGGACAGCTCACCTTGACTACTTCCTTCATCACTTCCTCCGTCGCGGACCCGTTTTCCTCCCTTCCCATAGCATTTTATGTTTGTTGATATCTTAATCTAATCGTCATAAACAGTTCCCACACTCCGGACAGCTCGCCTTGACTACTTCCTTCATCATTCCTACATCGCGGACCCGTTTTCCTCCCTTCCCATAGCATTTTAAGTTTGTTGATATCTTAATCTAATCGTCAAGAACGGTTCCCACACTCCAGGCTGCTGGCTTTTCTACTTTCTTCACCACTTCCTACATCACGGACCTGTTTACCTCCCTTTCCATAGCATTTCATGTTTGTTGATATCTTAATCTAATCGTCATGAACGGTTCCCACACTCCAGACAGCTCGCCTTTACTACTTTCTTCACCACTTCCTACGTCACGGACCTGTTTAGTGTTTACCTCCCTTCCCATAGCATTTTAGGATTGCAGATACCTTGATCTAATCGTCATAAACAGTTCCCCCACTCCGGACACTTCGCCTTTACTACTTTCTTCACCACTTCCTACGCCACGGACCTGTTTTCCTCCCTTCCCACAGCATTTTATGATTGCAGTTACCTTAATCTAATCGTCATAAATAGTTCCCAAACTCCGGACTGCTTGCCTTTACTACTTTCTTTGTCTCTTCTTACGCCGCGGACCCATTATCCTCCCTTCCCATAGCATTTTATGATTGCAGATACCCTAATCTAATCGTCATAAACAGTTCCCACACTCCGGACTGCTCGTCTTTACTACTTCCTTCACCACTTCCTACGTCACGGACCTGTTTTCCTCCCTTCCCATAGCATCATAGGATTGCAAATACCTTAATATAATGGTCATAAGCAGATCCCACACTCCGGACAGCTCGCCTTGACTACTGCCATCATCCCTTCCTACGTCGCG